GTGTGCCTTGGCAGTCTCTGCAACACAAGCATTTCCCACATTGGGATCAATAAAGTACTTCTTATCTTAAGTCACGCACACTTCCTAAAGCATTCCAGCATCGTACAGCTGTCACAAATCCCTGTTTGATCAACACCATATCTTCTCTTTTCAATACCTCCCGTCTACCTGATCCGACACACCTCGGCAGTCACTCCGTCTGAAAGCCAGAGTCCGGCGTAGAGCGGCTGAGTGAATTTAGTCTGGACTCTGTGGACGAGGGTCCTGGTTTCAGAGACGCTGTAGAAGGACAGGACTCCTGCGTCAGGATCCAGGTACACTCCCACTCTGGACGACCACATGCCCGGGATGCGAGTTCTAACGTTGTCATGCCTGAACGTGCAGGTGTTTTTGTAACAATCCAACGCCCAAGACTTGTCGTTGTACCCAAACATGCTTTCAGTGAAGCCCCTTTGTACGCGACAGCTACAACTCCACCTCCCAGTAACTAAGACCGTCCAGACTGTCTTTACTCAGGAGCTGCCAGCTATAAACAAACCTCTCCGGATGAAGAGGACACTTCTGTTCATAAACATAAAGTTACCATTTTGTCGTTCCCGGATATCTTCAGATGTGCGTTGGCCGTGTTTGGATCCAGAGTTACTTGGCATACATAGTGTAAGAAGTCAGCTCTGGTGAAGGGCTCTTCTTTAGTATTTGATGTTATAACCCCAGTGACTGTCATGGAGACCTTTGCGTATTCTTCCCCAACAATCGCACGTAAGTTCACCTTGGCCTCGGACAGAGCCATTGAAACTTTCTCGAAGTACCCCACGCGACGGGCTTTGACGGGGGGCGGCTCTGTGGATTCACTGAGACTTGCCAACGTTGGGTACTTGATCAGAAAGCCAGTGTGATCCTCTGTGTGTGAGAACTTCTTCAGCTCTTCGTCTTTCCTGTTCAGCTCGGCGACGTCCCGCTCCAGCTTCTCCCGAACCTTTATGTACCACCTGACTTCGGTTTCCCGTCGAGATGTAACCTTCTCCTTCACTTCTGCAACACTTTTCTCAATGATACGCATCAGGTCGTTGTAGGTGTTCTCGTTGTTTCTCAGAGCAGCTTCAGCGCATCGATTAATGGTGTCTTCCTCCTGTTGAAACCACTTTGCGTCTCTCTCTTTGTCCTGGATCGTCTTACGGATGTGTTGCTGAGTCGCCTGAAGCTCTCTCTGCCTCTCCACCCTTTCTGCTGCAGTCGAGACTTTATTGTGGCCTTTGTGAGTATCTTTCGAACAGAGATAGCAGATGCACTGCTGATCCGTACGGCAGAACAGCTTCATGACTTCTTGATGACGAGGGCAGATGTTCTCCTGGAGCTGTGCGGACGCTTCCACTAGCTTGTGTTTCTGTAAGGGGGCTACTTCAAAGTGTGGGCGGAGGTGTTCCACGCAATAAGAAACCATGCATTGCAGACAGGACTTGATAGCTTTCTCTTGACAGAAATCACACGCCACATGTTCAGTTTGATCCTCATCAAAATCAGGAGAAGGAGGAGGAGGAGGAATAGCTGGGGTTTCAATCTTCATCAGCTCCCCGACCACAAACGCCAACATGTTGTTTTTTACCACGGCAGGTCTTTGCATGAATTTCTGCCGGCACTGAGGACAGGTGTAGATCATTCTATCATCCTGAGCATCTAAGTGGTCCGTGATACACACCATGCAATAGTTGTGTCCACAGGAAAAAGTCACCGGGTCCTTCAGCAAATCCAGACAGATTGAGCAGCAGAAATTTGCTCGATCAAGATGGATCCCCTGTGCCATGTTGCTTTCCGATAAGAGCAGGTGTGTGGTGACTGAATGATAAGAAGAGAACTTAAATAGCTTCACTAGAGAGGGAGGGCATCATTCCTTCAAACCGGAAGGGTGTTCGCCTTTCTCGTAAAAGTTGTTAATTTACGTGTTATGGGAATAGTTGTCCCAATGCCAGGTTAATACGAGAACTTGGAATTTTTGTTCATAGTATGTGGACAATCAGGTGTGTACGTGACATGGGAAATATTCAGGGCGTATGTTAGATAGATTGGGATCATGGTTGGTTTGGCTTGAATCAGAACCAGGCCCTGACAAGATATCTATGAAACGACAATGGTATTTAAATCATGCTCAACAGTCATCCAACCATAGACAATAGACCCCGTGTGTGCAAAACTGAAGCAAACCAACCAGTCTGTCCATGTCCTCAACAGAGGAGGGCAAAGACTAGGGGATCTGTTCAATGGTATGCTTTTTTGGGAAGTGCTGAGTCACAGCAGGAATCCCCCAGGTTGAAGTAATGTTGGAAAAACCAAGCCAAGGGATGATCATACTCTCCCTGAAATGCTTAAGGTTGGGGATTTTGTTTAATACGTGCATGAAGTGACAGATATGTGCCCTTTTTGTTATGTTGCACCAAGAGGAAGGCTTGTACATCAGGTTACCGGGCAAAAACTCTCTTTTGAATCTCAGCTTCAACGTAGGTTTCTATTTAACAAACACACTACCACCAGGTACTTACTTTTTTTCAACAATTTCCATGTTTCTTCTTCTGCAACATTTGTATTATTTCCTACAGAAGTTATTCCTAATTTTTCATGACAATGGGTCGAGAAATATACTGACATGTTGCCTCAGGCCACTCCTATCGTCAGCAAAGAGGAATAAAAATAATTGGGGCACGAAGGTGATGACAGGTGTCTCAATTCAGATCCATAGTACACTGTCAACCCCTGTGGGGAATTGGTGAGTTCCTACCATATAGTGTCGTCTAAAATCTTACACGGCTACTGTGGCCACACCGGAAGTACCAGTAGCTGCTGTTAGCTCGCTAGATAGCTAGCAACGATAATTTACTGTACCTAATCAGGAGGAACTGCTAAAACTGTCAAATTAATTGTGGCTTTTTTATCAACACCCGTATATTGGTACATTTCCTCTACAGTAAAAAAATAATGTAAATGCGTAGTGTTTGTATAGTACACCAGGTAGTGACTAAAATGGCTGCTGTTAGCAGGCTAGATAGCTAGCATGATTGTTTTCTGGACCAAATCAGTATGGACTGCTCAATTAACCATGTAAAATGAACAGTGGCTTCTTTTCACACTGTCATGTTGGTACGTTACCTAAGAAATAGAAAGAAAAACCTGCATCTTTTGTAGTTGAATAGTACTGTGTTTACCGGAGCAACAGCAGCTAGTCAGGGAACTTCTAATCAGTAGCCAAGATGGCGAGTGTTCGGTGTGAGAAGACTCAACGTTTTGACGTTATGAAGGCACATTCCAGGTACTCTTACCATAGTGGAATTGGGACACACTTATGCCCTCAAAAGAGCACATGTGAATACAGAAGTACGCAATTTGAGACACAGCATGGGTGAACTAAGCTGTCACTTTATGACCAATGTAAAACTTGAATTGAAACCACCTACAGGTGACCTTGTCGTCACTACATGTATGTTCTAACAGTCTAAAAACTTTGTATTACCTAGTGCATACATCAAAACCAGCTTTAAAGCCTTTTCTTCTTTCTTTTCTTGGCTGCTTTTGAAAGGCCTGTGTGCCGGATCTTATGATGGCCCCTCAGAGGAAACTAAACCTAATCTATAATGTGAAACCGTGTAGATCTGGGTGACTGGGGAAATCCATTACTTTGAACGCTGTAAATGCTTTAATCAAACTGTATCAGCCCGGCGGTGCACAATCAGTGCAGATTAACAGGCCTCAGCGCTGACACACATTACAGTGTGTGTGTGTGTGTGTGTGTGTGTGTGTGTGTGTGTGTGTGTGTGTGTGTGTGTGTGTGTGTGTGTGTGTGTGTGTGTGTGTGTGTGTGTGTGTGTGTGTGTGTGTGTGTGTGTGTGTGGGTGTGTGCCTGTCATCCAGTCCCCCCATAGCGAACTGGGGACGACCCCCCACTGGGCCCTGGATGTGAATACCACACATTTTCTCCATCCCACACCCTTCATTCCTTCCAATAATGCACTTCCTGACATCCCCCCAACACACACACACACACACACACACACACACACTCTCTCTCTCTC